ACATCTCACATCTCAAGTGGAACTTACATCTCACATCCCGAGTGGAACTTACATCTCACATCTCGAGGAACTTGATGGTTTGCATAATCGAGTCTAATTATTCATGGAAAGAATCCTTGAGTAGAACTTAGATCTCATAGGATGGAGATGAACTTACATCTCACATCTCTACAATCTATGCCAGTTTCACATCTGGAGTGGAACTGCTTGAGTGGAATCTCACATCTCAATGGTAAATTGATGGTTTGCTACAATATCGAGTTATTCATGGAAAGAATCTTCCAGAGTGAAACTTACATCTCACATCCTGGATGGGATGGTTTGCTACATGACAGTTATTCATGGAAAGAACATCTTGGAGAACTACATCTCAATCTCACATGGTGATGGGGAACTTACAATCATCTCAGTTATTCATGGAAAGAATCTTTGATGGAATCACATCTCGAGTCTAATGGTGATGGTTCACACAATCACATTATTCATGGAAAGAATCTGCTTGATGGAACTCACATCTCGAATGGTAGGATGGTGATGGTTCACATCCCGAGCCAGTTATTCATGGAAAGAATCTGCTTGAGTGGAACTTACATCTCAATCCCAGGATGGTGATTACGTTTCACAATCTATGCCAGTTATTCTTACATCTGACATCTCTTGAGTAGAAATTACATCTCAATGGTAGGATGGTGACATTTCACATATTGAGTCTAAGTTATTCATGGAAAGAATCTCTTGAGTGGAACTTACATCTCACATGGTAGGATGGTGATTACATTTCTACAATCTCATGCTGGTTATTCATGGAAAGAATCCTTGAGTGGAACTTACATTTCACATGGTAGAATGGTGATGGTTTTATATATCATATCAATGGAAAGAATAAACTTGGATCTCACATCTAGGAGATGGGAACTTACATCTCACATTCTTGAAAGAATCTGCTTGGAACTTACATCTCACATCTTGAGTGGAACTTACATCTAGCATCTTGAGTGGAACTTACATCTCACATCTCAATGGTTATTCATAACTTACATCCCGAGTTTAACTTACGTTTCACATCTCGAGTGGAACTTATATATCACATCCCAAGTTAAACTTACATCTCAAATGTTGAGTGGAATTTATATCTCAGATCTTGAGTGGAAATTACATCTAGCATCTTGAGTGTAAGTTACATCTAGCATCTTGAGTGTAACATACATCTTACCAATGAAATACGAAGGAAATGAGTCTGTTTCGCTTCTAGTTCGATACAATATAATTTTCTTCAATCCAAGTCGTTTGCATAGTTCGCAGTCTTTGTCTCTTCCTTTTCTGTCAGGCTTTTTTTTTTTGCCATATTACTGAAATCAATGTAGGATGGTTGGTTTTTACAATCATGCCATTGTTAAATTATTGTGGCGTATATTCATTTCTTTCCTGGTCCTAACCAGAGATAAGGTAGAATGGTGATGGTTTCATGACATTTTCCATGAGCAGTTTGAAAAAAATCACAAATAAAATCCTTGTAAGGCGTGGCCTGTACATCTCAATGAGTATATGGTGATGCATTTGTTTAAGACATGGCCAGTTACATGGAGAGATTCCTTCAATGACATCTAATGGAATCTTTTCCAATCAATTGAGAGTTATTCAATGGAAAGAAGCGGCTTGAGTGGAAACATTGTGAATATGGCAATGAAGATGAGGGAAAGAGTCAGAATAATGTAAATAATTTAAGTAATTCATAAGAATCCTTCATCTCGGAGATCCAATCACCTGAAGAAGGCCGGATGGTTTGCTACAATGCATATGCAATGAAGATATTCATGGAAATAAATGCTTTGGAACTTACATCTCAATGGTAGGATGTTGACTACAATTGCCAGTATTATGGAAAGAAATTGAAGATCAATGGTAGAAAATAATGTAATAACGTTAGTTCAAAGATTTAACGAAGTGATAGGGAAATTTTGACGAATAATTTATTGTGGTAGAACTCGCTTTGAGCTTTTCCAGTTATCAACGAAAGAATTAAAATTCATTAAGGCAACCGTGAAATTAACACGGGTTTTGTCATCTTCAGTTAATCGCGAATATTCCGCGAATATTTTAGAAATAAAAATAAACAAACATTTACAACACCAAATCTTCTGCTTAATAAATCCGATGACTGCAAAATACGTTCAAGAAATCTTTGTTCATATAGTGCCAGACTTATATAGAATTAATCTTGAACTCAGGACTTATTGCAATTTTTTAAAAATAAGAACTAGAAGATAGATCCAAGGATATTGGAAAATGGTCAAAGGAACAAGAACAATTTACCCTGAGATTTAAATAAATATTTCAGTTCGAAATTCCAGGAATGTTATCTACGAAGACGAAGAAAGTGGCAATGTACAAGGAAATGTATCCATATCTACTGCTATCAGTTTAAATTTATAAAATCATTTTCTCAAATCAATTTTTCAAGAAAACAGATTTCCCTAGTCCAGTATTGATAATAGCCGTTTCCCTACGAGGAAACATTTAGTATTTATTGACCGACCAGCCAATACTGCTTTCGGTTGAAATTTTTAAAATCTTTCACTTGAATTAATTTTTCAAGAAGGTACTTTTCTTAAATTCAATACTAGTTATCACCTTTTCCATTATTGATATTAGCCTTTTCCTTACAAGGAAACATTCGGCTTTCACTGACCGAGCAGCCAGTACTTCTTTCTGGTGAAATTTATAAAATATTTCTCTTAAAACAATTATTCAGAAAAACAGGTCTCTCAAGTCCAGTAGATGTTATCGCTCTTTCAACTATGAACATTAGCCTTTTCCCTACAAGGAAATATTTGGCATTCATTGACCGAGCAGCCAGTAATGCTTTCGTATTAAATTTATAAAATCTTTCTCTTAAAACAATTATTCAGGAAAACAGGTCTCTCAAGTTCAGTAGATGTTATCGCTCTTTCCAGTATTGGTATTAGCCTTTTCCCTACAAGGAAACATTTGGCATTCATTGACCGAAAAGCCAGTACTGCTTTCGATTGAAATTTATAAAATCTTTCTCTTAAAACAATTATTCAGGTAAACAGTCCTGTAGATTGTATCACTCTTTCCACAACTGATGGAGGTTTCCTTCCTAACCTTTTGTTTGAAGTAGTGTGGAATGTCAACATCTAGATTATGTTATTATTTTCTCTTCAAGTTACATGTGTTATCCATTTTAGTTGTTCCTGTTGCCAGTGATGTGATATTGGTTAATTTGTTTGTGATTCTGCAGCGCCAATCAACATTGTTCAAAGAAAGATGATCTTTGCCAAGCATCCCCATACCCAACCTTTATTCGCACAAGGCCTATGGATAATTGTAGGATAGTCTGGGTTCTATAGTCTTGGGTGTAAAACAGTTTTCGAAAAGGAAATCTCTGAGCTGTACGCTGCCATGGCGAATCAAATTCTATGAAGCTAAGGAAAGGATCGTTCGCATTGACTCGATGAACCCGATTAGAGTCGACTGCTTAACAGACTGGGTTCTATAGCCTTGGATGGCAACCAGTTTAGGTGAAGGAAAACTCTGATTTCAAAAATGTATGCAAACCTGGAGAATCACATACTATGAAGCTAAAGAAAGGATCGTTCGCATTGACTCGATGAACCTGACCAGGGTCGACTGCTTAACAGACTAGGTTCTATAGCATTGGGTGGTAGACGGCCTAGAAGAAGGAAAACTGATTTCAAAACTCTATGTAACCCTGGAGAATCAAATACTATAAAGCTAAGGAAAGGATCGTTGGCATTGACTCGATGAACCCGACTAGTGTCAATTCATTAACAGAATGAGTTCTGTATCTTTGGGTGACAACCGGACAAGGAGAAAGAACACTCTGTATTCAAAAATTGCATGTAGCCCTGTCGAATCACTTATTATGAAGCTAAGGTAAGGATCATCTGCATTGACACGATGATCCAGACAGTGGTCGACTCTTTCAATGCACAAAGGGTTATTAAGTGTGAAAGTCTTCAAAAAAAATGTATCATTAATCACGAGCGAGAAAGTTGTAAATGTAACCAAGAAATCAGCAGGTAACGATTGACATTGTATTTAAGTTTTTGAAGATCAAAGTTTATTGGAAAGCAAGAAGCCAGAACAGAGTCCCACACGCAAAGAACTACGAAAAGAAGAAACTGTAAGAATAGAACTTACGGTTATATCTAACAATTTTAACTGTGAAACGATGAGACCTAATTGACAATCTAGTACTACTTTTAAATAAATTTGTAAATTATTATTTTTTTAAATAGTGTAATTGACGTCTACCTGACCAGGTAATGGAAAATTGTAAATAAACTTAATGTGCCTTTCATGGTGAGTAGAATCTGTATAAGTCATACATTAGAAAAACCACCTTCATGCAAAATGTGTTTTCATCCGTTCATTCCCGTGAGATCTAATAGGAAAGCAAAATCCAATTAACATTTTAATGAAATGTGCATCCCTCGTTGGAACCGACCGAAACTGATATATATATATATATATATATATATATATATATATATATATATATATAAAAATTAACCGAAAAAAAAGTAACTTGTAGGAATTCGTGGATTTTTCTAATGATTCATGGGTTTTTTCTTTTTATTGCGAACATTAAATTTCATTGGATTTTTGCACAGAATGAGAATCGATAAATATGGATAGAACGTTTCATCGGGACAAAATTTTTTTTCGGAAGACAGAGAAGAATTAGATATATACATAATGTTGTTATATAATATATATATATATATATATATATATATATATATATATATAGAGAGATAGGTATAATAGATGAATTAAGTTGAAATAGATAATGAAGAAAATAGATAGATAATCTGGAAATACACACACACACACACACACACACACACACAATTTTATATATATATATATATATATATATATATATATATAGAGAGATTTGAGAGGCAAGAAAGAGAGAGAGATTTAGACAGACAGGCAAATATTTAAATAAATTATATAGATACATAGATAGAGAAATAGATAGAAATGAGGTTAGATAGATAGATAGATAGATAGATAGATAGAGAGATAGATAGATATGAACAGATTGACATAGATAGATAAGATGAATTAAGTGAGATAGATGAATAATGAAGAAAAATAGCCGAATTATGTGAAATAGATAACGTTGAAAATTGACAGAGATAGATAATATGGAAATGTATATGTGTGTGTGTGTGTGTGTGTGTGATTGTATGAGTGTGTGTATAAATACATATATATGTGAAAAAAAGATAATGCTAAAAAAGATTTATAAATATATATATATATATATATATATATATATATATATATATATAAGAAAAAGGTTAGTAAGATATATATCCTCAGTGTTCTTATAAATTTTTATTTTTGTATAAATAGTGCAAAATGTAAATTTGCAGAGCATTAATATTATAAATTTATTCATTTAAAATATTTTATTAAAAAAAACCATATTTTAATCAATTAATTCATAATATATATATATATATATATATATGGTTAAAAAAATAGATAATAATTGAATAATGCATACATATGAACATATATATACATATATATATATATATATATATATATATAGATATATAGATATATATACAGATTTACACACACACACAGATAGATACATACATACATAGATGAATTAAGTGATATAGATAGATTGATAGGAACAGAATGAGATAGATAGATAGATAGATAGATAGATAGATAGATAGATAGATAGATAGATATGAACAGAATGAGATAGAGAGATAGATAGATATATAGATAGATAGACAGATAGATAGATACGAAACATTTATAATCTTAAACGGTTGATATACAAAGAGAGGAATCAATCAATATGCATGTAAAAGAGTTAAAAAGTAGATATATCCATCTGATAGATAGATAAATACATACATAGGCAGATATGATCATATTGGCATAGATAGATAGATAGATAGATAGATAGATAGATAGGAAGGGAGTATCTGATTCCCTTACAAATTAACGAGCAATTTATTTTGAAGGAAGAATAACAAAACCTTTACGATTAAATTCGATTCTTAAAATTAAATTTTAAATAAAAATTATGTTTGCGTAGAAGAAATTTTATTTGTGTTTCTTTAGGATGGTGGGGATAGATATGGATAAAACAAATAATAGCGCTTTAATGTTTGTTGCTTATAATAGAAATAGATATAGGGAGTACGTGAAATTGAAGATAAATGTTTTAATAGAAAGAAATAAGACCAAAGAATCCCTATTTGAAACGCTGAATAATCGGGTTTGTTTATCTTTCTAATTTTTAAAATGGTATATTTCGTTTATTTTAAGAATTTTAAAATGACCTGATGAAAGTCAGAAAATAAAAAAAAAAAGGAAAGAAAAAAACGTTTTTATTTTGTTTTTTAGCAGAGCTCGCTTCTTCTCGAAGAACACTATACTATTTTAAAAAGATTGCTTAAATTGTCCAAAAAGACTAAATTACATGCAATTTATGCTTTTATTCATGTATAAGTCGAAGTATTTCAAAGATCCTTTCAAAAAATATACTATGAGACAATCTATATATGGAAAAGGTATGGATTCCTTTAAAAATACTGGCATATAAGATAATAAAAATTTTTGTGAAAAAGATGTAATTGTCTTTACGAAGTTCATACTGAAGACGAGGTTGATTTCACATCCAACATATACGCATATAAAAAAATATTGAAATACATAATTGAATAAACAATTTCCATGTGCATTTGTTACATGTTATAGAAGGATTCTTTTTTATATTTGTCGAGGCAATGAATTAACACTTTGAGAAGTACATTTTTAATTTAAAAAAAAAAAATAGACTGTTTGTTGGGAAAATTTCCAGGGAATACATAAATTTTTTCCTCACATGTAGTAAGATGAACACAGATCATGAATGAAAAATATAAAAAATCATATATAATAAAAAGAAAAAAAGACATGATATAATATAATGAATCCAAAGGTTAATAGATAAAAAAAAAAGACAAAGGAGATAGATAGATAGATATATAGATGGATATTTGCAGAGATAAAATATGAAAACTTGTTACATTTCCTGATAGAAATAAAAATATTTTTTGAATTTCACAAGATGGATTAAGATACATAGCTATAGAATATATTTTCGAAATTTTTGGGATTCTACATTTTCGGTTGATAGTTATAGAAAGATAAGATATTACTGATTTTCGGTTAGTGAGAAGATAAGCATTGTAGATAAAATATATTTGAAAATTTTAACTATAACAATCACATGAGAAATGATCAAAATAATATTTAAAATATAACTGAAATTAAATCATTCTCGATTTTGAAGAAATACAGATAGATCCAGTTCAAGATTCTTTCCGTTGATTTTTCTATATTTTAAACTAAATGAAATTTCGTTTTCATTCTTCTATCAAATTCAAGATTCAAAATTTTTAATAATTTATATAAATTATTAAATTATTTCATCATATTTATTCCATGTTAAGAATAAACATTTTTGATTCTTAATTCTTGATCAAATTCATTCATTCATCTATATATTAAACTAAATATATCTTCTTTTCTTAATATATATTATATATATATTTAGATCATCTTCTTCATTATTATTATGAATCTCGTAAAATCTATCCTAATTCATCTTAATTATTTGATTCTTGAAATTGAATTTTTAAATTTAATCCTTAACTTTCTTGATTCTACAAGATTATTACATTCATTTTAATATTTTTTGATTCTTAAATTATTGATATAAGTTTTTTTGTTTAGAACAAAAAATATCTTTTAAATTGAAGTCTTATTATGTTCAAAAATATCTCATTATTTTTTTATACAGCTAATCTATCAAAAATTTAAAATATTTCTATTTTATTAAAATTTATATCCTGTTTTTAAATCTTTTTGAACTAGATGAAAAAATTAGGTTCTATTTGAAAAATATTTAATTTAAATATGTCCTTCCCCAAAAAATATCAAATGTTCTTTTTAATAAATGTATGGAACATTTGAATTAAACAAATCAAAATTGTTGGAAATTATTTTTTCCAAAAGCATATTCATTTTTCTTTTTAAGTCAAGACATTTTTAAACGCAAACCTTATTTGTTAAAAAAAATTTGATCGTCTAAAAGAAAAAAGAAGGTTCTTGTCAATATTACCAATTATAAATTTTTTATTTACAAATATCGTTAAATAAACGTTTTCAAGTATTCGCAATATATGATGGATATTTTTAGAATATGAACATTTCAAGAGTGTTTGACAGAATGATTCAAATCAACTCGAATGGTCTTTTAATGCCGATTGTATTTTCATGGATAGAAAAGAATAAATATGAATTTTTGATTAGACGGTTTGGTTTATTTTATGAAAATATATATAACCTTAAGGTTATTTAATTCCGAAAAATTTTTGACAATGGATCAAGAGGTTGACTAGAAAGAAATAAAGATTTTTTCTTGAAAAATTTTACATTAAAATAATTTTTTCAAAAAAATTACAATTAATATAAACATAGTGGGATTATCTGTTAGACATAATATGATGAACGTCAAAGTGTAACGGGGAACAATAATCGCATGGTTTTATATAAAACTGATTGTTTGTCCTTGAAATTTATAAAAGAATATATTTTAATGAGCGAGATGTATCCCCAGAAAAAATAAAACGGATAAATTAAATACCAATCCAAAAATGTAAAAAAAATGATACAAACTTATTTATCTTATATATATATATATATATATATATATATATATATATATATATATATATATATATATATATATATATAAAATATGTTATAGTGGTTCCAACGAGAGAAAAGTATGTATATTAAAAAAAGAAGAGAGGTGCCGCAAACGTTTTTGGTTGTAATGTGGATTTATTTGAAAAAAATATTATGCTTTGTTTTACATAATTTTACGACACGTGTTTCTGGTCTGGTCTGACCGTCTTCAGGTAAAAGTGGAGATTTTTACATATTATTAAAAATAATTAATTTTTTTCTTTTCATGTTCAATGTTAAATATTCTCGATATGAGACATTCTGTTTGTGTGTTGGTAATCCGAATTTTCTTTCTTGAATTGTCAATGAAGAGTTCTGCGCGAAGGGTCATAAAACAATTAAGGTTGGTCCAGCGAAATGATGAATTAGTTATCGGCATTTTATCTTTTAATGTTTTACTGACCCTATGTGTTCTTGGATCTGTTTCCATTTTGGTGTGTTTCTGTCAGCATGCGTGTATATATGCGTGCGTATATTTCCTCCATACATATACTGTCTTACTACGAGGAATTAGTAAACTTATTTGTACATATATACACATACACACACATACGCACATACACACCATCCCACCACAAGTAATCAGTACATACACACACATATACACACATATTTCCCAAGCTACATGGAACCAGTACACACACACACACACACACATACATTTATACACACATAGGTTTACATTCCTTTTTACCTGAAGTTGCCAAATTTTGAGACCGTGCAAAAAGTAATTTCATGTTTCCGCATATATATATATAATAAATATATATATGTACATAATTGAGATATATATATATAATTCATCTCCTCGTGTCTATATATATATGAGTGTGCGTCCATGTACCTATAGGATTTGATCATTGTATTCGATCACCATTTATCTGCATGTTTTTTTTTTTTACAAATTCGATCTATTCAGTTCGGGTTTGAATTTGTCTATAAATTTTTTTTTCCTGTATTTGTAGATACGAGTAATTGTCTGTTTGATATATCGGCATGATATTAAACTTACCCTGGTTACATTTGAAAATGTGTTGTGATACAAAAAGTTTTATGTTGTCTATCAATTTTATATATTATAATCGAGGGAGATATTGTTATTTTGTTATGATGGATATATATATATATATATATATATTTTGTGCATTTAAATTGCATAAATTCATTTATATATATATATAGTATAAGTTTTTATTTACATATATAAATTTTTTGGGTTTGTCAAAGGAAAAAAATAAAACTGATTATAATTACATAAGCCATTTTAATTTTGTTAAAATAGATTTGTTTCATTACAACGATAAACATTTGTATATAAGATTAATTTGAAGTTTAAAATACTGCTGCCATCAACATATGAAATATGTTTATATATATATTTAATGAGTATTTTTATGGATGAATGAATGGTCGTTATTTTCAAGTATAATTTTTTATTTAAAAAAAAAAAACATATATAAATGTTAAAAAATATATATATATTTATCAAATCCAAAATTTTAGATAACAATATCGCTTTTGGTTATTTTATAATTTTGAATATTCTATCCATCTTTTTTCGTAATTTCGGAAACTGATTTTTCTATTTTTTTAGATACCAAAACAATATTTTAAAAAAGGGGTTGAAAGAAATTTTCAATGACAACAGAAGGGAATGTATTTTTTCAGAGAATCAATTTGACTGAAAAAATCTTTGAAACAAAAAAAAAAAAAAATTCTTTATAGACCATATGAAATTTTTTAAAATGCGGAAGGGCACCCAAACAAGAATCATAAAGAGATTTCCACAGGCAAGAATGACAAGAGAAAATGACCTTAAATAGAAGTGTCATATTTCTCAAATTTCAATTTTAAATGGACAAAACCATTTAATCCCAAAAAGAAAATTCATGAAAACCAAAAGTAAAACCAACACTTATATTTTTATAATAAAAATAAGCCAAAAAATTTTTATAGATATTTAATATATATGGTTTAAATTTAACCAGAATTTATTTAGATTCAAAATCATAAACACATTTACCAATACATCAAAACTTGACAGCAAAAATCGAATTTTTATTTTTTATTGTTTTTAAAAGGAGTGCCCAAATATACAATATGTTGCTAATCTGCAAATTTTTACAAACTTTTTTTTTCATAAATGATACGGATTTTTGAAGTACCCCCCCATAAATATTAAATTGATTTATGAAGAGAAAAAAATTGGTGAAACAAAATGAAGAATTTATTTCAGATAGAAAAAATTTCTATATATTCACTGGAAAAACCGAAATATATTAAAAAGAAAAACATGAAATTTTGATAATGAGCAAACAGAGACAACCCAGTTCTGCAAAGAATCAGAATGAGTTTGAGATTTATATTTAGAAACAGAATGATAACAATTCTTTTAAAGTAATGCAGATTTAAAAGGGAAAGGGAAGATTATTGACGAATGCAGCTATCAGATTATTTTTTCATGATAGCATGATAGTTATCATTTGGGTTTGAGTTTTTTTGTTAAATTAAAGCTGGTCATAAGAATGTTAAAAAAATGGTTCCAAATAATATAAAAAATATATATATATACAAAATATATATATATAAATGAAATGTGTGTAGAAGAATGATATATATATATATATATATATATATATATATATAGAAAAATAAAGAGAGATATTAGAGAATTTTTAACTTTTTGGAATTGCATTTAAATTTTGGAAAAAACAGGTATGTGAAAATTTTGTTTGCAATTTGGACTCACACTCATTTTTAAATATTCTCTTTTGATAGATAGAGATGAATATATCAATTATAACAATAAAAAAATTATATATATATAATTATATTTTTTCCGTAAAATTACAAAAAATTAATTTTATTATCTACAAAAAGAAATGGAAAATTTGTTAAAAACTATCTCAGCGTTCATAATTGAAAGCATCAAATTAGTTAAAAAAAATAACGATTTCGGCATTGTTTAATTTTGCTTGATGTTGATATGCACGTATAATATTTCAACCAACCATCTTAAATCAAAAAATTTCTTTTGCAACAGACAGGGTAACAATTAACTGGAGATTTAAATATTAATAAGTTAAATAATTTAACATTACCGTCCAATGTTTATTAAATTCTTTTGAATTTATTTAAAGATATCATTTGCATTGATTTTTTGTTTTAAAAAATTAATTTAGAACAACCAAGTCATTTTATAATAATATATTAGGAATATAAAATTATTATTATATATTTTTATAAAGAATTTTATCTATCGCATCAATTATTTATCTTTTACAAAAAAAACATACTGAAGATGCTGACGAATGAAATTAATTATTGATCT